TCGAGGAGTTAAACGATTTGGAGTCAAAGGAAAGTTAGCACCACAATTTGTAGGACCACACCGAGTTTTGGAACGTATGGGAGAAGTGGCCTACAAGTTGGAGTTACCCGAAGGATTGTCAGGAGTTCATGATGTATTTCACATTTCCCAGTTGAAGAAGCGCCATGCAGAGATGGTCGATATTCCTCTGAGAGACACAGTGCCCCTAGAAGCAATTCAGTTGGAGATTGACCTAAGGGGAAACCCGTCAAGATTCTCGAGTTTGCCAGCCGAGTTACACGCAGCAAGGTCATCAAGTTTTGCAAAGTTTAGTGGAGCCACCATACCGAGGAAGAAGCCACCTGGGAGCGAGAGGACCTACGGAAAGACCACCCACACATATTTGCTAGCCAACCCGAATCTCGAGGCCGAGATTCATCTTAAGAGGGGTAGGTTTGTAACATCCACATTTTCAATTTGGATGTTAATAATTAGGTCATCATATGCATCCATATTTTGAGCATTTTGAATTTGGTTTATTTGGACATTTTGATCCTATAGACCTTAAGCAACTCAAGGACCATGTAAGAGGGTTGGAGGCTTCATAAAATTACAATTTGATTTTTTTTCAAAATTGGTAAATTGGATCAAGGTGATTATTATTTGAAATTATTTTTCCAAATATTTCAAAATAAATAAAATAATGAGAGAAGATAATATGACTTCTTCAAAATAGAGGAAATAATGGAAATTTATTTTTGAATAAAAATATATATTTTTATATGAATTTTATTTGAGATTTTTATTTGTTTAAATTAGGAAAAAATGCATTTTTGAAAATTGCATTATAACCCAAAAAATGTTCACGTTGTCCTAAATATTAGGAGAGGACCGTGAAAATTATTTTTGGGATTTAAGGATCTTTATTTATTTTGGATTTTGGATTTTTTTTCTGTGACAGAATTATTTAAAAAAACCGAACTGGGCCGGCCCAGCTAGCGCCAAGCCGTGCACAGCTCACCGCCGCCTCGTCTCCGTCCCCGGGACAGAGTCCCACACGTCACTGCCTCTCGAGTCCGGCGCAGACTCCTCCTCCCTGCCGCCTTGCCCCTTCCCCAAGCACGCCCGGCCCCCTTTATCTAGGGTCGCGGCCCGGCCTCTCCTTCCCCACCGAGCCGCCCCACCACCCAAGCTGATGCCGCCACCGCATGCGCTACCGCAGCCGCCGCGCCGCTCCCCGCCGCCGTCGGTATTCCTTCCCCCGACCCGGTATAAACCGAAAAGACCTAACCGGTTTTTTTAAGTTTGGTTTTATTCTTTTAGATCGATTTAATTTTTAGGTTTTGTTAAATAGTGAACGTTCACCCGATTCGTTCAGTTAACGAACGAATTCGTTCATTAGTTTCTGTTAGTGAACGTTCGTTCTTTAGGTTTTTCTTTTTAGTTTAATTTTCAGCCGGGGACCTATCTGTAATTATTTTTATCGTAGATTAGTCCCTGATCTTCAAACCCTCACTACTTTTTGCTCGTTTGTCCAAATCCAGTGAAACCAACGCCAAAATCTTCGTCTTGTTCCCCTTTGTCCAGAGAAACAACTTAAACATGATTTCGGAAATTTAAAATTTGGTTTCAAGCAGATTTGAATTCGAACTTCTTTTGATCGTAGTTTGAGTTTTGTAACTCCGATTCGATTAATTCTTTTTACAAATCGAAGCTCTTCACTGTTTAGATCTTTTCTTTTGGTTTTACCTTTGCATCTTATGCTTGAGTGCTTATGTATGCTATTTTTTGTTCACGATAGAGTTTCCGGAGTGTGAGGCTTTCTACTACGAATCTCTAGGATTTTTCGATCGTCGACGAGGCAAGTAACACTTTGATCATACCCCTTTATCACCCAGTTTTTATGCATTAGTTTCAAGCCTCAAACATTGCATGAGTAGGTTTTTGATAACATGTGGGTATTGGGAAGTAGTTGATGAGGTGGGAACCTATTGTCTTATATTCAAACCCCGGTATTACTACATTATGATGGCACTACTTTGCTATGCTCGTAGACGTGGATTGGTATGTGAGATTCATGAAAGTTGTGAGAGTTATTTATAACTAAGGGAAACTTAAGGTGGCTACTTTAATACACATCTGGGTCGATTGGTTGCGGGCACCTAGAGCAATCCAGTGTTGTCCTAGGATATCCCGAAGTACTCGTGTGATCATCCTATGGTTTGCCACCCAGGCTCAAAGGGGTCATAATATTATTCATGCTAGAAACTTCCATGTGCAGCCACAAGCCATTATGGGCTCTAGCATATTTCAGTATGTTGTGTGACCTCTTCCAGTGGTAGGCTAGTAGATGTAGGGGATGTAGGTGGTACTGTCTACCCAGAGTAAAGAGTTAATGCTTCTGAAAGACTGTGTCTCGGTCATCTGTTTCTCAAACATCATGTAGTGCGAGAAATTCAACGGAGGAGATCGAGTCTTGTGGGGAAAGCGCAAACCTCTGCAGGGTGTATAAACTAATCATGGTTAGCTGTGTCCCGGTTATGGACATCTTAAGTGAAAATATTGGGTGATAAATATTATTTTGGGATTGAGTTGGAGGAACCTTCTCAATAATGACTTAAACTTTGTAGTTAAATAAGATATATTCCTTTGTTGTAGGGAAAAATTAGCTTTATGCAAATGATAACTGTAGAGCCTTGCTACCTCTTGAGCACTGCGTTGGTTTTCCCTTGAAGAGAAAAGGGTAATGCAGCAAAGCAGCGTAAGTATTTCCCTCAATTTTTGAGAACCAAGGTATCAATCCAGTAGGAGACCATGCGCGAGTCACCTAGTACCTACACAAACAAATAAGAACCTCACAACCAACATGATAAAGGGGTTGTCAATCCCTTCACAGCCACTTGCAAGAGTGAGATCTGGTAGAGATAATAATAATAAGATAAATATTTTTGGTATTTTTATGATATAGATTGAAAGTAAAGATTGCAAAATAAAATAGATTGGAAACTTATATAATGGAGAATAGACCCGGGGGCCACAGGTTTCACTAGTGGCTTCTCTCAAGATAGCATAAGTATTACGGTGGGTGAACAAATTACTGTCGAGAAATTGATAGAAAAGCGAATAATTATGAGAATATCTAGGTATGATCATGTATATACGCATCACGTCCGTGACAAGTAGACCGGCTCCTGCCTGCATCTACTACTATTACTCCACACATCGACCGCTATCCACCATGCATCTAGAGTATTAAGTTCATAAGAACAGAGTAACGCCTTAAGCAAGATGACATGATGTAGAGGGATAAACTCATGCAATATGATATAAACCCCATCTTTTTATCCTTGATGGCAACAATACAATACGTGCCTTGCTACCCCTGCTGTCACTGGGAAAGGACACCGCAAGGTTGAACCCAAAGCTAAGCACTTCTACCATTGCAAGAAAGATCAATCTAGTAGGCCAAACCAAAATGATAATTCGAATAGACTTGCAAAGATAAACCAATCATACATAAAAGAATTCAGAGAAGATTCAAATATTTTTCATAGATAGACTTGATCATAAGCCCACAATTCATCGGATCTCGACAAACACACTGCAAAAGAAGATTACATCGAATAGATCTCCAAGAGAATCGAAGAGAACTTTGTATTGAGATCCAAAGAGAGAGAAGAAGCCATCTAGCTACTAGCTATGAACCCGAAGGTCTGAAGTAAACTACTCACACATCATCGAAGGGGCCATGGAGTTGATGTAGAGGCCCTCCGTGATCAATGCCCCCTCCGGCGGAGCTCCGGAAAAGGCTCCAAGATTGGATCTCTTGGGTACAGAAGGTTGCGGCGGTGGAAATAGGGTTTTTCATAGTGCTCCTGGATGTTCTCGGGGTATATGAGGAAGAAGTAGGTCGGTGGAGCAACGAGGGCCCCACGAGGGTGGAGGGCACGCCCAGGGGGGTAGGCGCGCCCCCTACCTCGTGGCCTCCTCGGTTGTTTCTTGACGTCCACTCCAAGTCTTCTGGATCACGTTTGTTCCAAAAATAACGCTCCCGAAGATTTCGTTCCATTTGGACTCCGTTTGATATTCCTTTTCTGCGAAACACTAAAATAGGCAAAAAATAGCAATTTGGGCTGGGCCTCCGGTTAATAGGGTAGTCCCAAAAATAATATAAAAGTGTAAAATAAAGCCCATTAACATCCAAAAAAGATAATATAATAGCATGGAACAATCAAAAAATATAGATACGTTGGAGACGTATCAAGCCTCCACCAGCCATATATGCATGTAGTGATAGATGTTATTTGTTCATTGCTCTATGGTGTTATCTTGCCAGCATATTCCATGTGTTGACCTACACGGCTGCAACGTATCATGTTGCAGAATTTTCAGACGAAGAGTAAGGTGCGATAGGTCGTTGTCATGCACTCAGTATTGCCGTGGAGTTGGATGGACTCATTTATCTTCGATGCTTCCGCAGTTATCATATTTAGAAGGCCTTCATCCATATTATTATAATAAGTAATCTTTCTGAGACACTCGATGTAATAAGTGTGTGATTGAACTCTGGTATAAATCCTCGAGTACTGTGTGTGTCAGCAATACCGATCCAGGGATGACACATAAGCACGGAGACTACGGTCTATTGGGATCGGGTCGCTACAACACCGTAAAGTTTTACAGAGTTTCTCAAAGAAAACCACGAAAAACTATGAGAATGTGGACATTCCTCACTTGTACCTTCAATGCACGTTTGGTACAGAAGCATAATTTCTTATTGTACGATTGTATTAATTAAGACCTCAGAAAAGAATTAAATTAGTCTGATACCACATTCCATGAACTGCCTAAAATATACTATTCTTTGGCATGAGACATGATGGGTCGTAATATGTACATGCGCGAGTACTAATCGCCTTGCCAAACAATTTCACAGGCGTCCTATAAATTGATACATTCCAAGTCTTCACATGCACAAGCATCCATCCGCTCACCCACACAACAAGCAAGCATCATCCACAATGGGGACCACCAACACAAAAGCCATAAAATCCTCTTGTGGCCTCCTTCTCATCGCAATCCTCCTAGCTATGTCTTCAGACAATGCATGTGGCGATGACCTACCGCCTTCACCAGCACAGGCGCCGCTGTCATCCCCCGTTGGCGGACGGTGCAAGTTGAGCGATGAAATTGCTCTCAAAGTGTGCGTTAACGTTTGCTTGGGAAAGATGAGCCCATTTGAGAAGAACCAGTGCTGCCAAGAGATTCGTCAGACGCCGAGCGCCGCATACTGTTTGTGTTTCGCCATCACCCGAGCACGTGCCCGTGTCTATGCTAGGGTCCTTGATGAAATCAACGCCATTCTCACAGTCTGTGGTAAGGCTCGTGTCCACGACCAATTCTGTCTCCAACGATCAGGGTGAACACCTAGCCTCACCAATGATGCTCAATGTGTGCAAGCAGGTAGGCTCACACCATGAGAAGTGCATCAACACATGTACATCACCTAGAATGTATATGTTCTACCTAAATAACCTTCCGTACTAGCATGTACCGGTTTGGACCCGACTAAACCAGTGATACACACATGTATATCATGTCCAGTGCGAGTGATCATCTAACTAAGAATCCGCAACATCTACTTGTATTATTTGTGATGCGTTCATGGCATGCCTTTTTGTCTGTGTGGTAATATTTTATGGATATGCCTCCTATGTGAAAATTTTCCCGAGCCGTCTAGCTCAGAAGTTCATTTTGAATCTTTTTACTCACAACGTAGCTTGCCGAGTGAATTTGTTAGGGTGGTAGCAACTTTCCCATCACAGGCTCTAGTGCTAAAATATACGACATGCATGGCATCAAAAAGCTCAAGGATCTCAATGACCACACATGCCCTATTTCATCGGTGACTAGCGAAAGATGGCATTAGTTCGCTCAGAAAGGCCAATTGACATCTCCATAATATAAGAATCACCAAAACAAGATGGTGACTAGCATCCACCCAACTAATCAAAATACATCGCTAATGAAAAAACTAAATTTTCAAATAAGGAAAAAAACAAACACAAACGAGCTGCAGAAAATGATTTGAGCACTCTACAATGCGACATCTAATGACAAAACACCTGTAGTGCAGATGGTCTTAGGAAACTGCCTCATATGGAGGTTTAACATCCGAAAAGGCATAAAAAAGTTTGTTCTATCACCAAGCCAGGATTGCATGTTTTGGCCATCCTTTGTTTATTTGACTATGAGAGAGATGATCATATCTGTATTCCAGATTCCTCAACAACATTGTGACAAACTTGAACCATTGTCTATATAAGGAACCTCACGTAACCATGAATCCCCCGACGGTGACAAGCCATCACATTGTGCTAGACGTTCGAGCATCCAATGGAGTGTGCCAACGTTTCAGACCTAGGTGCAAGATCCAACATAACTCCGCAAAATGACCACCGCTAACACTTACTATTTTTCCAAAACTCAAGCCAACAATCCGAGCCTCTCCATCTAAAATATTACATGAAATAATTGATAAAATTAATAATCCATGATTAACTAAAAAATTGGGATCTCGTCAAAGTTTATGATCCTAGGACACCAAGTCGCCTTCATCCTCATTCTGGCACTCAACAAGCGAGAGTGATGTTGCCGCTTAGTTAGTTTTCTATATATGGGTTTTTATCAGTTATGCCACCGGTTGTGTCCCACTACTCAGTTTTGCCACTAGAAATTTCAACTGCTCAAAAATGTCATTGCTTCATTAGACACATACTCAAAAATGCCACTAAACAGCATTATTGTGATCTCAAATCTCTTTTGCCATGTTATAATGACATAAATACCTATGAACCAACATGCCAGCTATCTCTCTGTCTCACTACAATAAAGTATGGGGCTCACTTGATCCCAACAGCGTTCTTATTTTCCTATAAAATTATTCGCTTGGTTACTCCTGACAAGTGGGGCCACACATATCATTGTGAGATAGAGAGAACTGACATGTGGGTCTAGGCTTATTTTTGTCATAGAACATGGTCAACGGGTTTGACGTAAAAATAACAATGTCTAATGGCATTTTTGAGCAAACATCTAACAGAACAGTGGCATTTTTTAGATATCTAATGGCATTTTGAGCAAGCATCTCACAGATTGATGGCATTTTTGAGCAGTTGTAACTTCTAATGGCAAAACTGAGTAGTGGGACACAACTAGTGGCATAAATGATAAAAACCCTTCTATATATCAATACATTTCTAAGACGGGGATGGGGTCGATAAATTTAGTTGATGGAAATGGTAAGTATGCAACTGTAGGGTAGGTTCTAGGCTGAAAGGCCACCACAAAAAATGGCTGGGCAAAATAATACTGACAGACTAATTTCACTCAGCATATGGGATAGACAGCAAACATGACGGTGCACACTGAAAAAGAGATTTTCTAGTGTTTTGAGGAGAAGAAAATTAACATTCAATTAATCGAATAGCAGGACATGAATTTCTACAATTCAATCATGAGATCTCAGGCAGGGACGAACTCGACGTTATTACATTTCGTACAAAATGACGTGCCACATGAAACAAGCAAAAAATACACAAGATGTTGAAACAAAAAACCTACGATTTTGTTGTCGCACTATATGTGAGGGACACCCTATATAAAATCATGTATATTTAGTTTACTAATTCTCTGTATAACTAGAAGATTTTTTTACTCCGATGTAATCTAGGATATTCTTTGCCATGTATTGATAAAAATCGACATAATGGGATTATCCGGTTTGTAAAAATTCTCATGCATAAGAGCGACTTTGTGTGGTAAGCATTGAGTATGAATACACCAATAAACAGTTAAATTTCGTGTGTCCAAATTCACTCATTTTTTGGCTCGTGCTTCCAAGGACACTTTACACTATCAACTTGTTTGTTTTGAGCAACTCACCACATGATCTAAGATGAATGTTATTCATGTAGGATTCCTTAACTAGTAGTCACAAGGATCACCATTGTAATTCCCTATGCACATGTGTTGGACTTGACGTGTGACGGAATTCTGCTGACCAAGCGCAAGGGTTTTCATAATCATGGAGAAAAAATCTATATTCATCCTTCAAGAAGATAAGGTGACTTGTAGTGAAAGGCTACTACACACTTGTGGAATGTATTAGAAGATATTTATGGCCCAATCTTTACTTGCTCATATCCCGCTCAAATATTTAAGAATGAGTCCTCATTTTAGCTTCCAAGGATATCAAACAATTTGATCTTGTTAGTGAACACGCGTGGATGTGTTTTCTACCTAGTAGTTCATTCTACTTCATACTCAAGTTAGGCATGTTCCATCAAAAAATTATGTCATAACTCGATATTTATTATTTATTTATTTTTATATACACCATAAAGTTTTAGATAGTTTCTAAAAGAAAATCACGAAAAATTGTGAGAATGTGGACATTCCCCACTTGTACCTTCAATGCATGTTTGGTATAGAAGCATAATTTCTTATTGTACGGTTGTATTAATTAAGACCTCAAAAAAGAACTAAATTAGTCTGATATCACATTCCATGAACTGCCGAAAATATACTATTCTTTGGCATGAGACATGATGGGTCGTAATCTGTACATGCGCGAGTACTAATCGCCTTGCCAAACAATTTCACAGACGTCCTATAAATTGATACATTCCAAGTCTGCACATGCACAAGCATCCATCCACTCACCCACAGAACAAGCAAGCATCAGCAACAATGGCGACCACCAACACCAAAGCCATAAAATCCTCTTGTGGCCTCCTTCTCATCGCAATCCTCCTAGCTATGTCTTCAGATAATGCACGTGGCGACGACCTACCGCCTTCACCGGCACAGCCGCTGTCATCATCCCACGTCGGCGGGCAGTGCAAGTTGAGCGATGAAATTGCTCTCAAAGTGTGTGTCAACGTCCGCTTGGGCAAGATGAGCCCGTTTGAGAAGAACCAGTGTTGCCGGCAGATTCGTTAGACGCCGAGCACCGCAGACTGTTTGTGTTCCGCCTTCACCCAAGCATATCCCCATGTCTATGCCAATGTCCTTGATGAAATCAATGCCATTCTCATAGTCCGTGGTAAGGCTCGTGCCCATGATCAATTCTGTCTCCAAGGATCAGGATGAACACCTAGCCTCAGCGATGATGCTCAATGTGTGCAAGCAGGTAGGCTCACACCATGAGAGGTGCATCAACACATGTACATCACCTAGAATGTATATGTTCTCCGTAAATAACCTGCCATACTAGCATGTACTAGTTTGTGATGACCCACAAGTATAGAGGATCAATTGTAGCTCTTTTCAATAAGTAAGAGTGTCGAACCCAACGAGGAGCAGAAGGAAATGGCAACTGGTTTTCAACAAAGTAATGTCTGCAATTAAAATTGTAAGTAACAGAGTAGTTTGATAGCAAGATATTTTGTAACGAGCAAGTAATGATAATAGTAACAAAAGTGCAGCAAGGTAGCCCAATCCTTTTGAACCAAAGGACAGGCCAAAATGGTCTCTTATAATAAGCAAAGCGTTTTTGAGGGTACACGGGAATTTCATCTAGTCACTTTCATCATGTTGATTCGATCGCGTTCGCTACTTTGATAATTTGATATGTGGGTGGACCGGTGCTTTGGTGTTGTTCTTACTTGAACAAACCTCCTACTTATGAATAACCCCCTCATAAGCGTCCGCAATTACGAGAAATGTAGTAAGGATAAATCCTAACCATAGCATTAAACTTTTGGATCCAATCGGTCCCTTACGGAATAGCACACAAACTAGGGTTTAAGCTTCTGTCACTCTCGCAACCCATCATCTAATAACTACTCCCAATGCATTCCCTTAGGCCCAAATATGGTGAAGTGTCATGTAGTCAACGTTCACATGACACCACTAAGGGAATCCCAACATACATACTATCAAAATATCGAACACATATCAAGTTCACATGATTACTTGCAACATGATTTCTCCCGTGACCTCAAGAACAAAAGTAACTACTCACAGGTGATAAACATGCTCAAGATAAGAGGGGTATTAAATAGCATAATGGATCTGAACATATAATCTTCCACCAAATAAACCATATAGTAATCAACTACAAGATGTAATCAACGCTACTAGTCACCCACAAGCACCAATCTATAGTTCTGGTAACAAGATTGAACACAAGAGATGAACTAGGGTTTGAGATGAGATGGTGTTGTTGAAGATATTGATGGAGATTGCCCTCCCCAAGATGGGAGACTTCTTGGTGATGGTGATGACGATGATTTCCCTCTCTGTGAGGGAAATTCCCCTGGCGGAATCGCTCCTCCGGAGGGCAAAAGTGCTCCTGCCCAAGTTCCGCCTCGAGACGGCGGCGCTCCGTCCCGAAAGTCCTCTCCTTATTTTTTCTAGTTCAAAATGACTTATATACCAGAAGATGGGCAACGAAGGTGGGCCTGGGTGATTACAACCCACCAGGGCGTGCCCAGGGGGCCACGCGCGCCCTGGTGTCTTGTGCTCACCAGGGTGGCCCCCTCTGGTGCTTATTGGCTCCAATATTCCTCATATATTCCATAAAAATCTCTATAAAGTTTCACCTTGTTTGGAGTTGTGCAGAATAGGTGGCCTGATGTAGCTTTTCCAGGGCCAGATTTCCAGCTGCCGGAATTCTCCCTCTTTGTTTGTACCTTGCCTATTATGAGAGAAAAGGCATTAGAATTACTCCAAAAAGCATTATTATGCATGGAAACATCATAAATAACAGTAGGAAAATATGATGCAAAATGGACGTATCAACTCCCCCAAGCTTAGACCTCGCTTGTTCTCAAGCGAAAACTGAAATCGAAAAAGATGTCCACATGCTTAGAGAGAGAGAGGTGTCAATAAAAACAAAATACGTGCATAGAAGAATCATGTTGATTATTATAACAGCAACAAACTTTAATATAAAACTTTTATCATAGAACTTTTATCATAGACTTCTCATGAATAAGTAACAATTCATCACACTATCAAAGTATAAAGCATAAACTCTATTAGAAACCAACAAACTATGTTCTCAGTCAACTTTGCAACTACAATTCATCATCTTTTCAGGAAGGGTCACGTATCGGAGCCTTTAGGCAAGTCCACATACTCAACCATCATTTAGTCTTCTATGATTGCTAACACTCACCGCATACACATGAGCAAAATGTTTCAACCGGACACATAGAAAGATAGGGGCTTATAGTTTCGCCTCCCAACGTATTCACCTCAAGGGTGATGTCAACAATAATAACTCATGCTACCCATATTCAACTGGACATATGTGCCTAGATCTTTCCTCACCACATGATGCTTGCCAAAGGATAAAAATAAAAAGGAATAGAGAGAAAAACTTTGACTCTTGCATAAAAATAAATACATAAAAGTAAAAGATAGGCCCTTCGCAGAGGGAAGCAGAGGTTGCCATGCGCTTATTTGTTTGTATGCTCAACCCCTTAGTGCAAAAGAATGTCATGTTGTATTGCCCCTTGTGATGGCAACCTTTATTATGCAGTATGTCGCTTTTATTCTTCACCATCACAAGTTCGTACAACGCTCAATTTTCTCTTACACTAAATTATCTCACACTTTTAGAAGCAATTTTTATTGCCTTATTGCACCGATGACAACTTACTTGAAGGATCTGACTCAATCCTTAGGTAGGTATGGTGGACACTTGAAAATAAGATTTGGGTTTAAGGGTTTTTGGATGCACAAGTAGTATCTCTACTTAGTGTGGAGTTTTTGGCTAGCAAAGATGGGGGGCAAGCACCACATGTTGAAGGGTCTATGACAATATAACTTCTACGTGAATATGAACAAACATTAATCATTAAGTTGTCTTCCTTGTCCAACGTCAACAATTTTGGCATATACTATTTTGATGAGGGCTCACAATCACAAAAGATTTCCAGGATAGTGTATTTATATGTGAATCTTCTCTTCCCTTATTAATTCTTTCATGAGTTGCATTATTGACCAATGCTATGTTTGTCAATCCCTAGCAAAATTTTCTACTTATACTTTTCCTTATGTGGTGTCATCACCTACCATAAGATTAGCATATGATCTTTTTTTCATTTATTTCCTTTCTTTTTATTGGAACATGAAAGTAAAGAAAGCAAAAACTCAAACTAAACTTTATTATATATCTCGCACATGATTACAAGGATAGATCACTAAGCAAACTCTTGAAAAGAAAGGATCGAACTAAACTTTTATTCATCTAAAGCAAAAGATAACTATGGATCGAACTAAAATAAGTAAAGGCAAAAAGATAGTGGGGTGATACGATACCAGGGCACCTCCCCCAAGCTTGGCGGAGGCCAAGTGGAGTGTCCATACCCGATACTCAGTTTTCTTTTGGTGATGAAGAAGGTGCTGGTGATGAAGTAGAGGCGATCTTTTCTTTCACGATCAAGAGATTTTCCAATCTACGGATGACGCTCCAAAGGAATATGGTGTGCTCTTGATGCAGAATATTTTCACGAGTGAGATATTTGTTTTGCGCACGAACTGTTTTCAATGATTCGAAAGGCTTCAATCTCAGTCAGGGTAAGGTGAGCATAGTAAGGTTTAAGGATATCTTCTTCTTCCTCAGCAGGCCAGGCCTGCTCAGCTGCCGGTGTTTGATCTCCGGTAGCCTCCTTGTTCTTGTCTCCCTTGAAGGCTTCTACGGGCTCTTCTCTCTTCAGCTCGATCTTCATCAACCAAGCATCCTCTTCCACGCTGTTGGAGGAGGAAGAAGACATAATACCTGGCTCAATAGATCTGGCCGAAAATAGCAAGAAAAGAGGGAAGAAGATTTCTCTGTGATACGGTGGTCAATAGGTTCGGGGGGTATTTAAAGATTTTTTATCTTGGAAAACAAGCAAGCTATAGAAAAACGGAGTCCGGAAGGTACCCGAGGTGGGCACAACCCACCTGGGCGCGCCTGGCTTGGTGTCTTGTGAAACAAGAATAGAGGATTTCTCCGCAATAAGGTGGTCAATACGTTCGGGGGGTATATAAAGATTTTTTTATCTTGGGAAACAAGCAAACGGGAGAAAAACGGAGTCGGGAAGGTTCCCGAGGTGGGCACAACTGACCTGGGCGCGAGAGGAAGGGCAGGCGCGCCCTGGTGTATCATGCCCTCCTCGGTTGTCTTCCTGGTTATTTCTTATTTTCCTAATTTTTATAATATACCAAAACTGACAGAAAATATTTTTTGCGGATTTTTCGGAGTCCGTTTACTTACCGTATCATGTACCTCCTATTTTTCAGGGTTCTGGAGTGTTCTGGAAGGTTTCTTTTATGTGTTCTCCGGTGTCATGGTTTGAATAATATTGTTTTCAACATTAATAAGCGTACCTGAGATATAGTGCTTAATTCTTTGCTCATTGACCACCTTTGGATTAGTGCATTCGGCATTATTGATCTTAATGGCAAACCTCTTCGATAACATATGGTCCTTCCCATTTGGAGAGAAGTTTTCCTATAAAGAATCTAAAACGAGAGTTGTACAAAAGAACATGTTCACCAACTTTGAATTCCCGCTTTTGGATTCTTTTGTCATTCCACCTTTTAACCTTTTTTTAATAGTTTGGCATTTTCATAAGCTTGGGTTCTCCATTCATCTAATGAGCTAATATCAAATAATCTCTTTTCACCGGCAAGTTTGAAGTAATAATTGAGTTCTTTAATTGTCCAAAATGCTTTATGTTCTAACTCAAGATGCAAATGACATTTGGTGCGAGGCAACTACAGGCAGTTCAGTTGGTTGCTGAAGCATAACAATCTTTCTTTTCCAAACAGATTAGCTTACAAGATCCAGAAGAAATAGCTTAAATTTATTATCCAGAAACAGGCAAACATGCACAAAGGGAAACGACAAGTCTGAGAAAATAGATTAATTAAGGGTTCGACGTGCATCAGGAAAACCCACTGTCTGGAATCCTTGTAACCAACATATGTACATGCCTGTTGGGGAGATATAAATACCCAACTCAACATTAATAGAAATCACTCGATTCACTTAAATCTCTCTTTCTCTTCAACACTTAGCCCTTAGTGACATTTCACATTGAGCCGACAATCCTGAGGACAAACTGAACTGGAGCGGAGAAGGGTGGGGAGGGGAGCATCGTGGTGTCGGGGTTTTGTTTTACACACGGGCATCTCTGCTGAAATCAGCGACTACAGGAGTGTTATCGTCGTCGGTGTACGCGAATATACCATGCCACCTTGCATTGGCGCCTAAGGGCATCGCCAACGCAGATCACCAAATTGCCTGTAAATATCCAGACCAAATGGTCCGGACGCTTTTGGCCATCCGACGAGGGTCACCTAATTTGTTTGAAAAAGTTTCGACGTTCGAAACCCACAATCCGGCACCAAAACGGGGGGGGAGTCCGACGACATTTGAAGATTTTCGCAAATACGCCATCGAGGAACTTATGAGCAACTTCGAAATGATCTAATTGAGCATCTTTGAGCGTTGCAAGGAGACAACTAGAACATATGTTTGAGTAAGTTGAATTCAAATATGAAATAATTTCTAAACGTTATGTTTGGATTGTAATATTTACATTTGAATTATTGTTGCATTGGAATATTTATCTTCGAATCACCGACGAATCGTGCTATTTATCTTTGGTTATTCTCAGTACTCCCGACATAGGGGAAAATCGAGCGGGCGGACAGTTGATGCCTGTGGTTGGATGGCCGGCTCCCTGCGCGCTGTCTATGAACACATCCGGACGTATTCCCGAACGTTTGGTGCCGTCCGTTTGGTGATTCGTGTTGGAGTCGCCCTGATGCGCCGCACGCCCAATGTATAGCAAACCCTCCGGCCCCTTTTCTCTCCCTCAAATTTCTTTTCTGTTTGTGTTTGACTTCACCGATTTGTTCTGTAAAAAAATAGTACGATTGATTTGTGAGTTCGTGAAAGTAGGTATTGACGTTCGGCAAGTTGTTGCAAATGGAAAAAAAGAAAGGATTGTTGCATCTCCTGTGCATTTAGCGGGCTATAGCCTTGAATGGGCCTGGATCTTGTACCGCAGCGGCTGGCTGGCTGCTAGCCTTGTGTTGTGGATCAAGCATTCTCGTTCAGGATTTGTTGTTTTCTGCCAGAGCGTTCTCAATCAGAGGGGTAGGAAATCAGGACGTGCCGGTGGAACGTTATCTGCTCGCACCGGACACCCATCGTCGTCATCTTCCGACTCCCCCCGGCTCGCCAGGAACCTCGTGAGCTATCATGCAGCAGCAGCACATGGTCGCGGCGTGCAAGCCCCCCCACGCCGTGCGGCGGGCGGCGCTCCCGCTGCCCGGGCCGTCGCTCCGACGAGCTTTCCCTTGCAATCCAGGTAAGTCGACCACCCGCTGCTCTGCATCGACTTAAACACGTACCGTTCGTCCCCGCAAGTAGATACTCGTGAGCCGTGGCTAACCGCGAGCGCGTACTGCAGCGAGGGCGCGAGAGGCGGTGAGGACGAGATGCCAGGAAGAGAAGCAGAGCGGTGATGGCGGCGAGAAGAAGAAGCAGCAGGAGCAGGAGAAGAGGACGTTCCTGAGCCTGGAGGAGGCCGGGCTGGTGGAGATGTCCGGGCTCAGCACCCACGAGCGCTTCCTCTGCCGCCTCACCGTGAGTTGTTTGCACCTTGCAGCCATGTTCTACTTGGATGGATTTTATTAAGAACATCATGGTTAACATGTGTTGATATGAATGAATGATTCTTGGGAGGGATTCATCAGATCTCGTCGCTGAACCTGCTGCGGGTGATCTCGGAGCAGGAGGGGGTGGCGATGGAGGAGCTCAACGCGGGGCGGGTGTGCGACTGGTTCCTCAAGGACAAGCTCAAGCGGGAGCAGAACCTCGACACCGCCGTCCTGCAGTGGGACGACCCCCCGCCCATCTGACCCCGCCGTCTTTGGGTGCTGCCATTTTCTTTCCTGTCAGTTCCGTCGTCGACAGATAACTCACGGAAGGACCGATCGAGGATGCATGGACGCTCTCTCTGTTCGACAGCATCTTCAGGTCGTCCCTTGGGTGGCTAACGGCCTCATCTCCCACTCCCGCACGTCTCCAACAACCTAGTGCAGGTCGTGCGCTACCTAGTCCAGGTCATGCGCCTTGTGCGTCTTCTCATGCAGGGACTGCAGTTTGTACTCTCCTCCCCCCTCTGTACTTCCGTTGTAACCATATAAGCCCATCGAGGCCGGCAATACACTGTGTGCGAAGAGTTTCACAACACAACTTGGTATCAGACGCTTCTCCGATCCTACCCCCTCGCTTCCGCCATGCATCGGTTCCTCTGTCGAACGCGCTCCGGCGGCGACCTCGACACCCCGGCAAGCAACCCCTTCGCCCCCTTCCCTCTGGCCGCCGCTCCTCTGCCGGCTTCACCTGCCACTGCTCCGCCGGCCGCGCCCCGTGCGGCGCGTCTCGCTCCCGACGTCCTCCGCGGCAAACAGGCCGTGCCCGAGGGCGCCTCTCCTTCCTCGGTCCCGCCGGCCGCACCACTTCCGGCGCCCGCTGCGGCTACTCTCCGCACGGCGGGGAGCGTCCCCATCCCGCACATCGCGCCCGGCGGCTCCGGCAGCGCGCTGGCCCTTCATCACGGCGCGCCCGACGTCGGCTCTTCCACTGCTGCGATTGGCCTACCGCCCTCCATCAACCACTTCTTCCATCACCGGCTCGAGCTCGAATCGGGTAACTACTCCAAATGGCGTCAGATCTTTTACGTCATTTGTTGCAAATATCAAGTGCAGCACCATCTCGACGTGGCCGCCGAGCCGCTTCTCCAAAGCGTCGTGTGGCGCAACGACGACCTAACCATCGTCCTCTGGTTCCACGACGTCGTCGCCGACGAGCTCCTGGACGTGGTCGCCGCGCCGGACAGCACCGCCTTCGACATCTGGCAGCAGCTGCATCTTCTCTTCCGCGACAACCAGGCCGGCCGCACGGTGATCCTCGGCGCGGAATTCCCCAACCTCGTCCAGGGGGACCTCTCCATCGCCGAGTACTGTCGGCGTCTCAAGTCCCTCGCCACGGACCTCGGCGACGTCGGCGAGCGCATCACCGACCGCACGCTGACCCTGCAACTCATCCGCGGCCTCAACAGCAAGTTTCGGATCATGGCCACCCTGCTCCCCATGCAGACACCCTTCCCGACGTTCGTGCAGGCGCGCTCCCGGCTGCTGATGGAGGAAATCTCCGCCAACGAGCGCGCTCGTCTTGACGGGCGCCCGGAGGCCACCGCCACCGCCCTCGCCATCGGCTCCGGCTCGGGGTCCTCGGGATCCTTGGGCACCTCCACCGACCGGGGCAAGGCCGCCAGCAGCCCTCCCGCCGCCGATCGCGACACCGGCGGACGTGGGCGCGGCCGCGGGCGCGGACGTGGCCGCGGACGCGGCTCTACCTCACCTGGCGGTGCTCCCTCCGGACGAGGCGCCCCCGCACCCGCTCCCACCGCCAACGCGCAGCTTCACGGGTACTTCGCCCCGTACGGTGCGCTCCTGCCCGGCCCACCCCAGCCTCGCGTGCCCTGGGCCGCGCCGAACGCTGCCGGCGTGCTGGGCCCGCGACCTCCGCCGCCCCAGCAGGCCTACCCGACGACTCACGCACCGTCGTCCGTTGGCCCGACGTGGGAGCAGTACCACCAGTTGTACGCTGCCCTACAGAACCTGTCGACGCAGCAGCATGCCGGCGGGCACCAGGACTGAATCCTCGACACTGGAGCCTCTTCCCACGTGACTGGTATGGCCGCCTCCCTCTCTAAGTGTTTTTCTCCATCTTTGCGTTATTCTTCGGGCATACTAGTTGGAAATGGATCTCGTTTACGTGTGACGGCCGTCGGCTCCACCAAACTTGCTTCTTTTTCTCTCAACGATGTGCTTGTTTCTCCCACTGTCATCCAAAATCTCATATCCGTACGTCGCTTTACTATTGACAACTCCTGCAGTATTGAATTTGACCCGTTCGGTTTCTCCGTGAAGGACCTAGCCACACCCAAGATCATAATGAGGTCCAATAGCCATGGGGACCTCTATTCATTCTTCACCAACTCCGGCGTGCAAGCTCTTCTCACGGTGGTTGGCAGCGATGTGTGGCATCGGCGCTTGGGGCATCCTAGTGACAAGACCATCTCCACTTTAGCTCATTTTTTTCTTCCCACATGTAATAAAGACATGTCCCAAAACACCCTGTGTACGGCATGTCAATTAGGCAAGCAGCCCCGGCTGCCTTTTTCCACTTCCAAGTCATTTACTACAGCACCTTTTCAGCTCATACACTGTGATTTATGGACCTCTCCTATTTGTAGTTTTTCCGGTTTTCAATATTATCTTGTGATCCTAGATGACTACTCTCGTTACTCTTGGACCTTTCCTCTACGCCACAAGTCCGATACCGTAGATATCATTCATCGTTTCCATGCGTACGTCCTCACACAATTCCACGTTCCCATCCAGTGTATGCAATGCGATAACGGCGGCGAATTCCTTACCACCTCCCTACGCGACCTCTTCTCCCGCTATGGCGCCTCTCTTCGCCTCTCATGCCCTCATACATCGCCCCAAAATGGAAAAGCCGAGCGCCTCCTACGTACGACAAATGACATTCTTCGCGTCCTCCTCATACACGCCACACTACCCCCTGCCTTCTGGGTCGAGGCCCTCCACACCGCAACCTACATCCTAAACCGCCGGCCCTCCACTGCCATCGCCTCCGAGACTCCCTACTTTCGCCTTCTCGGCAAACACCCCACCTATGACCACATGCGCATTTTTGGATGTCTGTGTTTCCCTAACACCATCGCCACTAGCCCCCACAAACTTGCCCCTCGCTCGTCTCGCTGCATTTTCCTTGGGTATCCCTTGGAACACAAGGGCTATCGATGTCTGGACTTGGCTACTCGCAAGGTTATCATTTCCCGTCACGTTACCTTTGACGAGTCCATTTTTCCCTATCAACCTACCCCAGACACACCGCAGCCCTCCCGTCGACCGCCCACAGACGATCTCGGGCCGCAAATCTACCCCGAACCGCGCGTCGCCGCTCCCCCCAATCCGCACCCGCCCACGCCCTCCTCGGGATCGCCCTCGCCCCGATCCCCACTCCCACCTTCCGGGTCCTCGGGATCCTCTCCCCCAATCCACGCCTCGCCCCCGCACCTGCCTGGGCATGTGGATCTGCCCACCAAATCGACGCGCCCCACTCCACCCGCCTCGCCCCCTCCCATGCAGCATCCCACGCCTCCACCGGCCCCACCATCCCATGCACATGCACGTACCCCTGGCTCCCCGCCCCCGCATGCACCTTCCCCAAGCCCCTCCCATGCACATGCACGTACACCCGCGCGCTCGCCCGCTGCTACTACTCTTCCCCCGCGCGCCGTGCCTGTGCCTCCACCCACTAATCTACATCGCATGCGTACGCGGGCGAAAACAGGATTTGCTCAACCTAAAGCTCTTGTTGCTTCCATGTCTACCTCCTCCACCATTAGCCCCATCCCTTCCTCATATCGCGTTGCCCTCTGGGACCCAAACTGGTACAACGCTATGCTCGACGAATATAACGCACTGATGCAGAATAACACTTGGAGTTTGGTGTCGCGTCCTGCAGGTGCCAATATTGTCACAGGGAAGTGGATTTTCCGGCACAAGTTCCATCCCGACGGCTCTCTCGCCCGGTACAAGGCGCGTTGGGTGCTTCGCGGCTTCACACAGCAGGCTGGCGTGGACTACGATGAGACGTTCAGCCCCGTCGTCAAGCTGGCGACCATCCGGACCGTCCTCAGTCTGGCCGCTGGGCGGGGTTGGCCTATTCATCAACTCGACGTCAAGAATGCGTTTCTTCATGGGCACCTCGCCGAGACGGTCTACAGCACCCAGCCGTCCGGCTTCGTCGACGCCACCTCGCCTACCCACGTCTGCCGGCTGAACCGTTCCCTATACGGTCTCAAGCAGGCGCCCCGTGCGTGGTTCACTCGCTTCACCAGCTACCTGTGCACGCTTGGCTTCGTCGCGTCGCGAGCGGACTCGTCCTTGTTCATTCTTCGCCGTGGTGACCACCTCGCCTACCTTCTATTGTACGTGGACGACATCATCCTCACGGCAAGCTCCACCGACCTGCTCCGCTCCATCATCCGGGCCCTCCACCGCGAGTTTTCGATGACCGACCTCGGCGCCCTTCATCACTTCCTCGGGGTCAACGTCACCACCACCACCCGCGGCCTCTTCCTTTCTCAGGAGTAGTACGCCTTGGAGATACTTGATCGGGCTGGTATGCTGAACTGCAAACCGCTCTCCACGCCCGTCGACACCCTCGCCAAGCTCTCCATCGACGACGGCCCGCTCTTCCACGACCCGTCGCTCTACCGCAGCTTGGCCGGGGCGCTGCAGTACCTCACCTTGACGCGCCCCGACCTCTCCTATGCCGTCCAGCAGTGCTGCTTGTTCATGCACGCGCCGCGGGATTGCCATTACCAGCTTGTCAAGAGGATTCTTCGGTATCTACGTGGCACGACACACCTCGGGCTTCGGATCCACCGCGACACCGCCACCGACCTTGTCGCTTACTCCGATGCGGATTGGGCCGGCTGCCCCGACACGCGCAAATCCACATCGGGGTACTGCGTCTTCCTCGGCGGCAACCTCCTCACCTGGTCGTCCAAGCGGCAGAACACCGTCTCCCGCTCTACCGCCGAGGCCGAGTACCGTGCTGTTGCCAATGCGGTCGCCGAGACCGTCTGGCTGCGGCAACTCCTCGGTGAGCTCCACCAACCTCCATCTCGTGTCACGGTTGTCTACTGCGACAATGTCAGCACCGTCTACATGTCGAGCAATCCCGTACAACACCAACGGACGAAGCACATTGAGATCGACCTGCACTTCGTCCGCGAACGCGTTGCCCTTGGCGAACTTCGCGTTCTCCACGTGCCCACGAGCTCACAGTTTGCCGACATCTTCACCAAAGGGCTCCCGACGCGTCTCTTCGATGATTTTCGTACCAGTCTTAACGTCGGCGAACCCCACGTTGCGACTGCGGGGGGGTGTTCGACAGCATCTTCAGGTCGTCCCTTGGGTGGCTAACGGCCTCATCTCCCACTCCCGCACGTCTCCAACAACCTAGTGCAGGTCGTGCGCTACCTAGTCCAGGTCATGCGCCTTGTGCGTCCTCTCATGCAGGGACTGCAGTTTGTACTCTCCTCCCCCCTCTGTACTTCCGTTGTAACCATATAAGCCCATCGAGGCCGGCAATACACTGTGTGCGAAGAGTTTCACAACACAACTCTCTCGGCAATGTCGGCATACAAGGAGTTCAGACTTGAGTAATCAGTAGTGTAGCTTCACGATTGCATCATCGCGCCGGATGACCATCTGTAACACTCCCATGCATGATACTTCCTCCGTTCCTAAATATAAGTCTTTCTAGAGATTCCAACAAGTGACTACATACGAAGCAAAATAAGTGAATCTACACTCTAAAATATGTCTACATACATCCGTATGTTGTAGTCCATTTGAAATGTCTAAAAGACTTATATTTAGGAACGGAGGGAGTAGTAGATGATGCTTCATTGCCATTTTTTTTTGTCGATTGCACTCAAGCCGCGGGCATACTTTTTTTCTGGATCATTCGAATTTCAGAACGTACTCTCTTCGTCCCATATCACTTGTTGTTCAAACAGGTGTATCGAGCATTGAAATACGTCTAAATATTAGTACTTGTTGTCCCATATTATCCATGAATCTTAGAAACTTTTTTTTATCGATCCAGCAGCAGAGTTTTTTCCCTTCCGTTGAGAAATTCTGTCAGAAGAAGTGAGCGTGACAAAAGCAGAGCAGTGCTACGCAGGCAGTGGCACAACAGAACCAGCCAGCCTGAAGAACGCCCTTTCGTCCAACACCTCTGCCGCTCCTCACCCCGCGAGATGCGTAGGTTCTGCAGCGTCCCGCGCGGCCGGCGGCCGTCGGCCCCCCACGGCGCCGGCCACCCTCCGCCGGAGTGGATCGAGCCGTACACGGACCTCGCCGACCCGAGCCCGTACACGGCCGCCTCGGCCGCGACGCCCACCCCGTCGCCGTGGCTGCCGCGCGTCGTCTCCCTGGTCCTGCGCGCGCCGCCGGCCACGCTCGCCGCCGACCTGCGCGCCTTCTGCCGCACCTTCCTCCTGCGCCTCTCCCCGGCCTTCGTCGCCGCCGCGCTGCGCTCCCCGCAGCTGCTCCCGCACCCGCTCCCGTCGCTCCGCTTCTTCCGCGCCCTGCCCGGCGGCGCCGACGACCTCGCCGCCCACCCGCAGCACCTCCTCGGCTGCTACGTCTCGCTGCTCCACTCCTTCGCGCGCGCCAGGGAGGCCACCCCAGACGCCGCCGGCCACGCGCGGCGGCTCGTCGCCGAGCTGCGCGCCCGCGGGGACGGGGACGGCCTGCTGGGGCACCTCACGCCGCCGTCGGCCGCGTCGCTCGTCCGCAGCCTCGCGGCCCTCGGCCTCGCCGACGAGCTGCTGTGGGCGTGGAACGGCATGCGCCTCGCCGGCTTCGAGCCCTCCAGGGTCACCTACAACTGCCTCCTCGACGGCCTCGTCAACGCGGGCCTCCTTGACACCGCCGTCAACGTGTTCGACGCAATGTCCACGGAAGACCCGGTTCGCCCTGACGTGGTCTCCTACAACATTCTCATCAAGGGGTACTGCGGCGCCGGGAGGGTGCAGGATGCGATGGCACGGCTCGATCACATGAGGGATCAGGCGGAGCTCTCCCCCGACAAGATAACGTACCTCACGCTGATGCAGTGCCATTACAGCGAGGGCACGTTTTCACAGTGTGTAGCGTTGTTCCAAGAGATGGAAGAGAGGGGAATGGGGAAGGACATTCCGCAGCATGCGTATGTGCTGGTGATCGGCGCGCTCTGCAAGGACGGGAAGCCGTTTGAGGGAATGGCCGTGTTTGAGAGAATGCTCAAGCGTGGTTGCCCAGCCAAAGCAGCAATGTACACTTCGCTCATCGATTCAATGGGCAAATTTGGGAGGGAGACCGAGGCAATGTCACTCTTTGAGAGGATGAAGAGTAGCGGGCTTGAGCTCGACGCCGTCACGTATGGAGTGATTGTTAACTGCTTGTGCCGGTTCGGGAGGCTGGATGAGGCCATTTCATGTTTCAGGAGCTGTGAGGAGAAAGATATTGCAGTGAACCCTATCTTCTATACAAGCCTGATTGATGGCTTTGGGAAAGCTGGAATGGTCGACCAAGCACAGGAGCTCTTCAAGGAGATGAAAGTTAAAGGTTTTGTGCCGGACTCATATTGCTACAACGTGCTGATTGATGGGTTAGCTAAAGCAGGAAGGACGGATGATGCTTGTGCCTTGTACAAGAGAATGGAAGATGATGGCTGCGATCAGACTGTTTACACGTATACCATACTGATCGATGGTTTGTTCAAGGAACACAAGAATGAGGAGGCGCTGAAGTTGTGGGATGCGATGATCGACAAGGGGATCACTCCCACAGCTGCAGCTTTCAGGGCCCTTGCCAACGGGCTATGTCTTTCTGGCAAATACAGCCGAGCATGCAGGATATTGGATGAACTGGCTCCAATGGGTGTGATTCCTGAGACGGCACACGAGGACATGATCAATGCTCTGTGCAGGGCCGGGAGATTCAAGCAGGCCTGCAAATTGGCAGATGGCATCGTGGGAAAGGGCCGTGAGATACCTGGCAGGGTTCGAACAATGATGATCAACGCACTCAGGAAAGCGGGGAATACTGATCTAGCTGTCAAGCTGGTGCATAGTAAGATAGGCATTGGGTATGAAAGATCTGGCAGCATCAAGAGAAGAGTAAAGTTTCAGACGCTGTTTGCCTGAGCCACCGATGTTTGTTCTCAGTGGTGCGTAGACATCAAGAAGTGCCAAAGATTTACTGGAAGTGAGAAGACATGCCATAGGCTACACCGAGGTATCGCATAGTGCTCTAGACCATGTTCTGAAAAGGCTCCACACCAGCAGGAGGAATTTTGACAGTGTTCTGGAGCCAAAAAACTTGAAGCTCTTCCAGTTATGAGCAATCAAAGGGAAACAAAATTGCTTGGCACATGAGTCTCGCTGACGAGAGATCTTGTATGCTACTAGATTTCAGGAAAATGTGGGCCGTCCATTGTTTTTGAAGGGACAGGATCAAAACATTAGTCCCTAAATCAAGCGGTCAGGGTATTGCTGGAAAAAGGTGCAGTTGTAGAGGCTGCAACTTATCTGGCTAAACTTGATGCAAAAACAGCTGTCACTTGATGTTTCGACGATTTTGTCAATTGTATCTCCCTTCTCAGGGAAAGAGAAATTAAGGGAGCACATAAAATTGCTTCGGGTAAAGTACCAGCCTTCTGAGAATTTCGGCTGACCATTGATACAGTATACTTGAAACTTCGTACTGAAAAACAAGGTGGTATTCACTCATACTCCCTCCGTTCCAAAATAGATGACTCAACTTTGTACTAACTTTAGTACAAAGTTGGGTCATCTATTTTGGAACAGAGGGAGTAGCTGACACAATGATATTGCCGCCACCAGCCTTTACTGAAAATGCAGATAATTCATCCCTTCTGTTATTGCTGCTGTTTGATGATGCCACGTCCAAAATTAAAATAACAAGCCTGAGGTCTGAGGGTCATATGAGTTTCCCCCTTTTTTGTGATGAAGAAAGCGTAACTCTGGTCTGGAAAGTTTGGATATGTGTTACACATCACATATTCAGGCCTATTCAGAGTATCCAAGTTTGTGGCAAAGTACTTGGCAATTGTCACCAATGAAATCCTGGTTACTTTCAGTACCGGCTCTCTCAACAGTAGCGCTATTTTTTTAGGAGTGTAATTGTGCTGTATTCATGGGCTGCAGACTGGTAAACAGAATTGAACTGTGTTCTCATCTAAAAGCAGTTTCCTGCGCTAGTGCACTTCAGTTAGTAATCTGATTTTACTTCAGGGCTATTAAGCATGTTTTGTGCTTCTCCCTGGAACTGCTGACTGTGAAAGTACATTGCAGATGCCTTGATCTCTTCGGTAAAAAATATTTACCTTAATTCATTGTCTATGTTTTTTCTTTTTTCTGCTCCAGCTAGAGCTATCAAAGGGAAGATGAACAGAGCGAGAAGGGTCAGTGCTGTACTGCTGTTGGGATTCTAGGGCGCTGTGTGGTTATCGTGAAGACAATTTTTAGATAAAAAGTTATGCAATCTGGAGGCCACCGATGGATACTTGGTGAAAGTACCAGTATGCGGGAAAGCAGCTACTTTGGTTGAAACACAATGCTTGCCAAATGAAACCAAGCAAATGCTGCAATATGTGAAAGAAGTTGATAAGGAACAATCGAACAAAGTATGCATTTTCCAAGAGAAGGTGAGCTTCCTTCTCAGGCTTGCTATGTGCGCAGAAATATTCTGATGAAACCGAGAAGAATGTTGTGCGTGTGTGTTAAAACTTTCAGTTGGCTATGTGCACAACCAAATAAAGGTCTATATTAATAATTGTGAATTTTTTAATGTATATGAGTATCATTTCCGCAATGCCGCTTGCTTTACACGGAAAGGGTTCATCTTATCTTTTGTTCAGTTGGATTTTTTGATACATGTTCACTTGAATTTTGTGTGCAAGTCACACAGATTTATTTGTGCTACTACATTATTATGCATCCCTATTGCCTTTACAGTGCCAGGGTGACTTTCTTCAAATCACGTAGGCAATTACAATTTGCATCCATCAGAAACAAAGGGCTCCGGCCATGAAAAACAGGAAGCAATAGCAGGGAACAATCTCGCATCATGGGCAACAGAGGCAGCATGCTGGGCGTGTAGTCCGGCGACGCGGCGCCGCCGGAAGGAGGCGGCGGTGTGTGATACGGCGGCGCCGGCGCGCACAACTTGGCGCCGGACAGCAGCACCAGGGCGGCGGAGACGGCGTAGTGGGCGTGTAATCCGGAGAAGAAGCTTGCCGAGGAGGAGTCGACCAAGTGTAGTAAGGTGATGCAGCGGCGTGCTCTGACGGCGTGTACTCTGGGTCTGGGGACGCGGGGCGCGGCGAAGGCGTCGCCGGGGAAGCGAACCAAGCAGCAGGGTCCGACCAAGTGTAATCCGGCGACGGCGGAGGGCACGAGGGAGGGTGATCGGGCGACGGCGGAGGGCCCGAGGCAGCGTAATCCGGCGACGGCGGAGGGCCCGGCGAAGTGTAATCCGGCGACGGCGGAGGGCACGAGGGAGTGCAGTCGGGCGACGGCGGAGGGCCCGACGCAGCGTAATCCGGCGACGGCGGAGGGGCCGACGGAGTGTGATCCTGCGATGTGCACTCCTCGTGGTGCCCGCCATACGGCCGGCTGCAGCGCTCGTCGCCCACGCCGAAGCCCGGGAAGAAGGGGCCTCCTCCCGGCATGATGCCGCACCGGGACGGAGGCGAGCGCGCGCCCGGGGTGTACGCCGGCTGCGGCGGCGGCGGCGAGCAGGACCGGGATGCGAGCGCCGTCGTCGCCGGCCGCCTGGAACGTGGGCGCGCGCGTGCG